TATATATATATATATATATATATATTTTTATATTGTGATATTTTAATTATTTTTTTTCTTTAGCATTCTATTATAATCAAAATAATATTATATTTAATACTACATTTGATTCTTCATTCAAAGTATAAACTGATTTTTTTTATTTGTTAAAAATGTCAGCAATTAAAATTTTCTTCTCTTTTAACTCCAATATTTCAATTAGTTTTCTATTTTAATTTTGCTCTCATGTAAAAGAAATTGACTTTAGAGAGAGTAAAGAATGTGGAGGGTAATAAAATTGTTGCAATAAAAATAGTGTACAAAGTTAAAGAATGTAAAGGGTATTTTTGTAAGCAATTAATTTATAAAAAAAAATTATGCAATGATTTAGTACACCAAACCAAATAATGAACAAAAAATAATGTCAACATTACTAATACACCATATTCAATACTATTCTTATACTTCCAATCATACGAACCCTTAAGGTAATAAATTATGTGACTTAGGTTGGTAGAAGTTAATGTTGCATGTTGTGAGAGGTACTTCTATTGGGATAATAATGAATATATTTTTTATAATTTAAATTAAGATATTACCAAAAAAAATAGTTATTACTCCATAAATGTGAGGTTAAAATATTTAAGTTTCCACCAATAGTTATTTATTTATGTTATAAAATTTAATTTTTTTTATGGAATTACAATAGTATTCGCACATCCTGCGGGTACTAATACGAGTTGGTAAGAAAAGCTTCACTTCCCAAAGCGTAATGACCGTATGTAATTGAAACATGTGCTTCACATTTGTATCGCATCGGTGGGAAGGTAATGTGCTGAAAGTAGATGTAGGAATAATATTGTTGAGAATGTTAACTATGTATGAGTAATTCTGCTTATTTCATAGTGAATTTTCGATATATAATAATTTATGGAATGAATTTTTGATTGATGTATTTAGTGTGTTTGGATCACCACGTCCAAAGTAAAAATCATTTTACCAGATATTCAATATTGCTTTTGTTTAACTATATATTAAATTAATTAAAAACTTTAAATATATTTGTTATTTTAATGTTTATATATTTTCATTAATAATAATGTAAACTTAAATAAAGTCGTTCATAATGAATATTCAAAGTAATTTTTCTTTTTAAATAATCTGGATTGTAAAATGGATATTTATACTTGTCTTCTGCAATAATTTGATATTCAATGCTTTTTTGGAAAAGATTGGTCAATTACAATTTGCTTATCAAATACACAAAAAAGTATTTCTCAAACGAATTGGTCAAATACAAATTGTTTCTCTCTAAAAATACTTTTTTGAAAAGTTATTTTGACAAAAATACTTGTCAAAATTAACAATTTTTGACAACTTGATCAAACATGCTCTAAAAATCTCTTTCTCTCTCTCCCTCCCTCCATCTCCCTCTCTCTCTCTCCCTCCCTTTATCTCTCTCTCGATTTATGTGGTGGAGCTCGAATCTCGAGAGTCAAACTTCTTAATTATGACCATTAATTCGAACATAGAATAATTAAGCTTTTTGAAACAAAATTTATATATTTGAAAACTATGTTAAAAGTACTATAAGTCACAATAATTAATAATTCAAAAATATCTAAAAGGCATATGAAAAAATTATGGTAAAAAAAACCTGGTTTGACTCTAAGAATTCGAATTTCGGCACATAAATTGGGATGAAGGGAGTAACATTTTGTCGTTGAAGAGAGAAGTAAATTCCTTTGGGTTTCAATATAATATAAACCTGTCTTCAACTGAAAAAATGAGTTCTTCCTGGAAAAAAAAACTTATCGACGTAGTGAAAAAATAAATTATACCATCAACGCAATCGCAAACCAAAAATTAAATGATTTAGTAGCAAGAGATCTTCAATTGCTTTTCCTGGAAGAGTTTTTTAAAATTCAATTGCGAATTTTGCACAGAACTATACAGCATAACATTAAAAGATTACTTTTTATTTCTTGCAATTTCGTGCACAATTTAGATGAAGATCCGAAAATTATGTGACCCCGTCCTATAGATTCTCTTTCATATGGAATAGTATTCTTTTTACTTTTCATTCGTTGATGTTGATAGAAAATAAAAATAAGTAATTCATATTAGAAGACATCTGTGTGTTAATTTCTCAAAAAAATACAACTCAGAGGAAAGTCAAACCCGTTAAAACTTACTGAATAATGGACTAGTTCCTCTACTCTTGTGCAATAAAATTCAAAACCGTGACGCACACTTACGCATGATATTCAGACATTAAAGACACAAATTCCAGAGTAATGCAAAGATATTCAAGAACCCAAAAAGGAAAACAACACAATCTTAATAATGATTTAGCAGGTGATAAAGTTGCAAAAACTATACACTTGTTATGAAGACTTGCAAAGACCAGACCTTAAACAGAAAAGAACTCCTCACTTTCTTTACTTGAACTTAAGAAAAGAAAACGATCAACTTCTTTCTTTACTTTTTTCTCAATGGTACAGTCATAAAGATTTCATACACAGAGAACCCTATAATTTGGAGGACGAAAAGCTCTAATCACTATTTACTGCTTGCATTTGTTGTATGATTTTCTGGTAAATTTCATTTCCAGATTTCTTCTTGCTCCATACCAATGATTTTGATACGAAATCTCACAAGTGTAATTCATAGCACACTCAAAAGTGGCATTATGTTGTCAGCCAAACCTCACGAAGAAGATCATACCTCTTATTTGATCCAATTGAACCTGTTTCTTCCTTTTGTTTAGCTTTTCTACTTCCATTCTGTGCAGAAGCGGGTGATGATGGCATTTTATCAATAATGCATGCTAGAGGAGAATCTATTTCCTCCAGTTCCTCGTCACTTGTGTATCCCTTCCTTTGTATAGCAGAAGCACTCCGGGACAGGAGAGACTTCCCATCAACTTCCGCAACTTTTTCTGCAACGTCAGCAGCAACAGGAGGTTTATACACAACTGGGGCGGCAGGGTAAGGGAAACTACCGGAAGAGTCTCCTCCTGATAATCGACGTGCTATGATGCACTGCAAACATCAGTGATGTGAGATAAAATTCATCAACAGAAACCTCTTTGCAAATGTAGTTTGATATCCTAGAAAAGGAAAAGTCAGTTGTATTGGCCAGTTTTGTCAGTTAATCACATTGTTTCGATTTTCGTCATTATTTTTACCATGGGCTTTTGTTTCAAAGTTGTAGTGAAGGTAACACTTCTAAATAACCTTAAAATGCAAAACTTGAACTAGCTAAGAGTAGCCAAACCTCGGCGTTGAGAGCTTCTAATACAGTGCCAGGGACAGGATCAGGACAAAACTCATCTGGAGAGAAGTTGCAGAGGATTCGCTTAACCAGTGGAAGACTGATAGATGGACATACCTGCAGCAACATTTAGAATTTTCATCAAGACTAAAGAACAATTGACCTCTACGCATATTTGGCAAACCAAAAGCTGTACCTCCATTCTGATAGTGCGGTCCATGAGCATATCTTTTGGAAGCATGAGAAGATCGCTTAAGGCATTGAGAAGATGGAAATGCTCTGGTTGATTTCCACCTTTCCTGTGATCATCTCCAAAGCTGCCTTCATCATTTTGCCCAGAATCTTCAGCATCCATGCCAAACAAATCAGTAAGACATCTTGACCAGTTGCCAACCTGCAAAAAAGATATACTATCAATATCAAGAGCATGGCCAATGAACAAAAGAACATAAAGGTTCCGTTAGCACATAGCCCATTGTTGACAATTTGGCAGAGTAACACTGCAAGAGCCAAGGACAGAGGAAAATATTTTCAAAACAAGTTAACAGTGAATAGTACTTACTGAGTTTTTCAGTTGCGCACCCGAGCCAAAACTCAAATCTCCGGCTGGAATAGGCAACACCTTTGAGTCAACTATTGGATCAGATATGGGATCAGTTGGGATCTCGTGAGCTGACTCACGAAGAATTGCATTGAACATAGCCACATCCAGTCTGGCAACACATTGTTCAATGACCTGAAAAGGTACATATATACAGAGGCGTAAAGCATTTAGACTAACAAGTGAAGCTGAAACCAATTACAGCTAGCTTTAAAAAAATACAGCTAAAATGGAAGTGTAAAAGTACTATGAGCTTTTCCTTGATCACCTGCATCCAAAAACTATAGGAGATAGAAGGATGGAAAAGATACGGAACATGGAAAGCAGAAACACCGGGGATTACTTACCCTTCTAGCCAAAACAGGCAAGCAACCGCATTCATGGCTTCCTGCTCGAACAGGACATAATCTCTTCAAAGCCTCCTGGAAAGCATGCTTCCATAGGTTAATGGAAAAGTTTCCTTGCTGCTGGTCACCCAAGGCAGGTCCTAATAACCGTCCAACAGATTTTCTGGCCATTGGATCATCAGCGGGAGATTGCATATTGGGAGTCAACGTCTGTCGCCAAAGCGATCAATCAGTTTCCGAAAGGAAAGCACATTAAAGCTGCTTGCTTGCTATTAAATAACATGCAATAGAGTAATAGGCTTAAGTTTCAATGTAACATAAGTTTTAGATATCAATTACTTAAAAACCTAATTAGTGATGGCATGTTTGGCTAAATCCTGTAGTTACTATGTAGAACAGAACATAAAAGGTTTACCTATTTGGTACACCAGAATATGATTTTCACTTAATTAGTGCTGTCTACACGTCAATCCTAAATGGGAACATTAATACAACAGGCAGCTAAGTACATTTACCTGCCACCATATTGATTCAACGATCCGCGAGAAAATCCAGGATTCTACTCTCTCTAAGGCAGCTGTAAAAGTTCTTGTTTCTTGCCAATCATCAAAAAACTGCAAAAGATCATGCTTGCTTGATTGTTTGTTTCCTGGATGTGTTTTCCATTTAAAAGAGGAAATCTTTGATTCAGTTTTCTTTCCTCCACCATTTGACTCAGTAATCTTTACCAATGAGCTTGGGCTACAGGAACTTCCAAATGCTTGAGAAATGATTACCCTCAAAACAACAGCATTTGACAGCCAAAATGTTAACCTTAATGAAAAGGGAAGAAAAATGTTAGGCTAATCCAAAGTACAAAAGTTCCACATGATCCAATAATTGAAAGTATAACACACCTTGCCACATCGTTACCACATGATTTGGCAACCAAAACAAGGCCGGAAACAGTGTTTTTAGCAACTGTAGCTCTTTTGTCTTGAGACCAGTATTTACATGCATGAAGGTAGAGTCTAGATAGGCGCCTGGCAGGTGTGTGCAGCTTATGTGCAGAACTGCCATGCTCAGATACCACAGAGTAAAGAGCAATTTCAAGGGCAGCAACTTCTCTCAACTCCTCCTCAAGTTTCTCAAGCCTTGATTCCATTTGGCCAATCTTTTGCTCTAAAGCTGTTTTATCTTCTTGTTCGCAACTCTCCTCAGTGTTGACTGTTTCATCATCACTTCCAACACTTTGAGCACTAACTGAAGTCTCATCCAAAATATCTACTGGCTCAACCTCTTTAACCAATTTTTCATCACCTTCTTCTGAGGAATCTGATATGGATTTTGGATGGACTTTCATATTTTTAGAGTTGTCATTGACATTCTTGGATGTCACTGTAGATGGATCCTTTTTAGGTGTTTTCGCTTTGTTTGCTGTACTTTTTGTTGCCTTAATCTGTGAATTATTTTCTTTCTGATCAGATTTTGCTCGTTGTGCTGGGGAAGAATTATTTGCGACACTTTTAGCAAGCTTTTTGGAGACCTTAACAGTCGAAGCTCTTTCTACATTTTCATCTTCAGCTATTTGTGGATCTCCTTGAGATGAAACTGAATCATTTATTGTATCAATATCTGATTCCTCTTCCAGCCCCTCTTTGGGTTCACTCTCCATATCACTAGAATGGTCATTGATTTTATCCTTCCCCTGTTTGTCAACCATTTTACGTGTTTTTGATTGCGGAGTTGCTTCCTCAGACCTGTATACATCATCCACATAATCTATAACCACATTCTCATAAACTTCAGTGGGCTCTGTGCCCGTGTTCGGATCACTTACTAAAACAATGGACTCTGGTCTAGGAGGTGAAGCTTTATGATCAGTCTCTTTTGCTTTTAATGTTTTGCCAGTACTCTTTTCCTGTTTGTAGTCTCTTTTCTCTGTCTTTACAGCACGCTTTGTTTGATTAGTGTTTGAACCTCGCTTCCGCTCAGTTTCCCTCATGCTCAATACGCTTCACCTGTTAATCTTCAGCAAAGAAGAAGCCATAATAAGCAAGAAAATAGATAATCAAGCATCACTAACAGTACATTGTGAATCGATAATGAGTGAGCTTTATCATGACCAGACTATAAGTATGCTAGATATTAGAGCTTATAATTTAGGATTTGCCAAGCCTAACCGCTAGCTAAAAAGCATTCACTGTCAAAATTTATGGAAAAATTGACCTTTACAGGTTAGAATCAAAAGATGATGCTCACAAATTTCAGACTAAGCAGGCACTAGTAGAAAAGCAGCATTCAATACCAAAAATGTCATACTGTGATACTTCTACGATCATACCTACAAATATAAAGTTTAAGATGTTGAAGGAATGGCATTGCTAATGACTAAGGTCATATTTGTATTCATTGTCTAACATAGCAGCCATTTCGGATCAACTCCCTTATGAAGATAAATTATTTTCATACTTTAAATTTAGAGCTAGTTAAGAGCAGGTCTGTAAGATAAGCAACTTGTATTTTCCAGTTAACTAGCTAAAAATAACAGGGGTTAAGTAAAATGTAATAACTACTTTGCATCAATGTTACAAAAGAGTAGGACAGAAGGAGAATCAACCATCTCTTAAGTAGAATATTTGCTTCTTTTTTTTTCATAAGCCAAAAGTACAGTATTAATTAAGTGAATAATGCACAATTTCAAATATAACACAAGTAATACAGCATCCTACAAAGTTATAACTTCGCACAGCCTTACACTGTGTTTTCACTACTTGTGAAAAAACTTTATCCAGTTTACATTCAAATACTGTCCAGAAGAAGCAAGTTGAAAGGAAGAAGAGTGGTCAATGAAATAAGTCAAGAGCTAAGTCTCTAGTCAAAGCCAGAGAAAAGTTTTAGTAAATCTCCTACTCTTTCTCGCCTCTCTCCATCAAAGCCTTTTTGCAAGATGATTTGACAAGTTCAGTTTAGCCTCGAAAACCAGTAGTTTTAGGATCTTCAGACAAAAAGATCCAAAACTTGTCAATATTTCCCAGTAACAAAGTGACGAAAAAGAAGTCTCACTCAGGGAAAGGAAAATTAACCACTGGGAAAGAATCTTATAAGATTGCCAACACTAGTTATATGAAAAAATACACACGTCACTGAAATTTCAGAAAGCTTTTTTGTTTTTCCTCCATAGCCAGTAGAACATCAGAAAAATGAACCGGGACAAAGAAAGTAGATAAAATTGACACAAAATTGTAAGTACTTTGTAGCAATAGGATTAATAAAACGGAAAAAAGAAAAAGCAAAAGCATTTATGGAGAGGCAGTTAAAATGTGTCAGAAAGATGAATTCTAACTCACTTTGAAGCAGGCAACATTTCTTTCAGAAGCATTTAAGTGCCAAAGCTAACTCAAATTATGAACATTCAATGAACAAATGGAGGAAAAGAACAAAAATCAACACAGCAAAGAAACAAAGAAAAAAATACTGCTGTAGCAATTTCAGTGAAAAGGCCTGTTTTTATGGGGGGAGATGACGGTTACAGGAACGTGGAAAAGTAACTGCCAAATGGATACACGCACCCACGATCTTCAAAATATTTAAACCATCATTACGAAAAACATACAAATTTCCAGAACTAAATATATAGAATAATCAAACCGTCATTTCCTCATTTTCCTTTTTTATCTATAAGAAAATAACACATTTTTATAATCACACAATTTAACTTTAAGATTCGATTTATAATCACAAAATTTACCTTTAAGATTTTAATCACAAAATCTCAAATTTCTCATATATTTTTAAATTCTGTGTCCAATCAACAATGCACATAAAATGAGACAGAAGAAGTAAAATTAATAACTATAAATAAAATTTAATATACCGAAAGCGAAAAATCAAGGCAAAAAGGACAAGATCTAAAGCAAACAGAGAAGAGAAAAACTCGAAACAGCGGAGCGGATCTACAATGTTTTTCGCAATGGATAAAAAAACAATGTGCTTCGTTTCGTCAATTTCTTCCATACATCCAAAATTCAGTAAACGACAAGGAGAAGAGTATAATAACAAGGCCTCATATACTTATAAGTACATTCACGCCTTTATTGAAACTGCAACTTGCTGCATCACTACGTCACTATTTGAAGACCGCATTCTTCAGCAACAAAACAGCGTAAAATGTAGAAAAAGTGAAAATTACTAGAAAATTGCATTCTTCAGCAACAAAACAGCGACAAATTTACTAAAAATAGGGAAAATTCACTAGAAAACAAAACGTTTCAGCTGGAAAACAGCGAAAAATCTGCTTAAAGAGGAAAAATTACAATAAAACCGCATTCATCAGCGGTAAAACAGAGTCAAATCTACTACACAGACGAAATCGCGAGAAATTCTTCTAAAAATGAGAAATATATTAGAAAACTGCATTCTTCAGCTCCAAGCTGAATTATTATTTATTAAACTGCATTCTTCAGCAGCAAAACAGCAAGAATTATCAAATGATTTATTATAAACTATTACGAAACCGCATTTCTTAAGCTGTAAAACTGCGAATACTTACTGGAAACAGAGAATTGACTTACCGAATCAATTACGAGATAGATTCAATGAGAAGAAAAAGAAGAAGATGGTGAGATGCTTCAAAATGCAGCAGCTTCCACGTTCACTTTCTCTCTCTATATATAGGTGTGTGAAGAATTCTGTTCTGACTTCTGAGGGACTGAAACTGTGTTTGCGAAAATGTGAAGAGAAATGGGAATAATGTGAAGAAGTATGGGGCATTTTTAAAAAGGCTTGTTTTTATTTAATTAATAATTAATTATTAGGTTGATTAATTAAGATTACGGGAATCGATTTGAGGCTGTGACCGGTGAAGGGGGTGTCGGTGGAGGGAAAGTGACCGGTGGTTCCCGGTTACGTTACGCGTCATCATGACTCCCTTGTAATTTGCGCTCCATTATTAAGTCCAACATTACCCTAACCGGATAATGTAGCCATTATAATACATAAATTACCATATAGTGAATCATACTCCATCTTTGATCACGTTTTTTGAAAAGTAAACTTTATTTTAAAAACATTGAAAATTTTATGCCTGAATTAATACCGAAATTAGTACGCCAAAAAAGTTAAACATAAATTAAAGAGGATGAAATTTTTTATATATGTAGGTGAATATTTAAAGAATTATTATATGGTGATTAATAGAGAATATATTAAATCAAGAATTGCAAAATCATTTCAAGAATAAAAATTTACTAATTATAACATGCATGGGTGATCTTTAAAAGCTGATTTAACCGACTGGAACGCACTGAACCGAATCGATTAATTAGATATTTTAATAAAATTATAAATTTTTATATAAATTCTTAACTGCACTGAATAACAGGGTAGGTTCTTAATTATTGGCGATAAATTTATATATAAAAAATATATTTCATATATTAAGTTTAAAAATAACAAAGCATTAATTTTTTTCTAGGGCCTTGGGATTATGGAATGGCTATAAGCGAACAAATAATTACCAACCGCAAAGTCCTACTCCCAAACTTATTTTGCTCCCATGTTGAAATTATCTTAAGTACCAGCAACAAGGTTGGATATCTTTCTCCCGTATAATTTAAATTTCACTTGTTGAGTACTTAATCTTCTAACATTATGTTTGGATCATTGTTACCCATTGTTTTATAATGTATTCTACTGTACTGTACTGTATTGTATTGTATCATTTTATGGATACAATGTTTGAATAGATTGTATCATTTGTTGTTGTTAAATAACATTTTGATTGTTTGGTTTGATTATATCATACTGTATTGTAACTGATAAGTTTACCAAAATATACTTAATTGTTTTAAATCAAATTTATCAAGAATTACGTATAAAAATAATTTAAGAAAACCTCTTTCTACTAATTTATCATCAATTATGTAACTTGAAAACAAGAGCAAAACTTGAAGAAAAGGGTTAACTATCATTAGGTAAAAAACAAATCAAAAACGATGAAAACAGATAAAGAAACGAACAGAGATTTGGATGAAAAGAATGGCACGAACCAACTCTGGAAAAGATGGGCGTACTTATCTTCCAGAGGCTATGAAGTTTGGAACAAGTTTCACTTCTATTTTTCTCTGTCGTGCGATTTTGTTCTCTTATTGCTAATTGAACTCTTTTGCTCTTGTTCTCTCGCAGATGGCGGGAACACGTACTGCATCTTCAGCTGAGCAGCAGCCAGAGCCCCCAGTGGTAGCTCCTACGGGGGACAAAGGTCGAGGTCGAGGCCTTGTCAGAGGCCGAGGCAAGGGCAGAGCTCGAGCAACAGCACCAACAGTGGAGCCTCAGATGGAGTTTGATGAGGAGGTTCCAGCCCAGACTATGTCGGTTAGACCAGCTCAGGTCCATGAGGGGTTCATCGTCACCCTAGTGCTTCAGGATGCTTTAGTCCGTTTAGTGGACCTTATGGAGAGTGTGGCCCAAGCCGGTACGTTTCCTATGGCACCAGCCGTCTCTCATGCTGGGGGAGGAGCACAGACTCCCGCTACTCACACTCCGGAGCAAATGGCTCCCTGTACCAGACTCCAACAGCTCAGCCAGTTGGGGTAGTTTAGCCGGTTGTTGTGGCACAGGCCGGTGAGGGACCAGTTATGTCTTCTCTAGGCTTATTGAGATTGGATAAGTTCACCAAGCTCTTTCCAGTTCACTTCAGTGGTGCACCTTCCGATGACCCACATGATTATCTTGATCGCTGCCATGAGGTGCTGCGTAACATGGGGATAGTGGAGACCAATGAGGTCGATTTTGCTGTGTTCCAGATGATGGGTTCCGCCAAGAGATGGTGGAAGGACTTTGTATCGACCAGACCAACTGGATCATCTGCTCTTACTTGGGACCAGTTCTCTCAGATATTTCTTGAGAAGTTCCTTCATGTCACACTGAGAGAGGATTATCGCAGGCAGTTTGAGTGTCTTCTGCAGGGCAGTATATCTGTCACTCAATATGAGACCTGTTTTGTGGATTTGGTCTGTCATGCTATTCCTTTGCTTCCTACCGAGAGAGAGAGAGAGACAGAGAGAGAGAGATTGAGAGAGAGGGGGGGTGAGGAGGTTTATTAAGGGACTTGCTCAGCCTGTCATATTGTAGATGGCCAAGGAGACCGGGAGTGAGATTTCTATTCAGACGGCTACCAATGTCGCCAGGCAAGTCGAGATGGTTCTTGCACAGGGGGGAGGTCAGAGGTCTAACAAAAAGCCTTGTCATTCCAATGGATTCAGTGGCGCCTCGTCTGGAGGCAGGGGTACTTTCGGTAGAGGCCATCCTCCTAGGCCGTTTCATTCAGCACTCCAGGAATCCCACGGTGCTTCAGGTGGTCGTGGCCCTCATCATGCCTTATTTCGACCAACTAGCCTACAGTGCACCACTAGCTCCTATTAGTGCACCTCCGCTCCAGAGTTTTCAGGGTGGTTACTCAGGTCGACAAGGTCAGTTTCAGGGTTAGCAGTCGAGGTCCTGTTTTACTTGTGAAGATTCGAGGCACATTGCTAGATTTTGCCCTCGAGCATCTAGTAGTTCATAGCATCAGGGTTCTCGTGCCATGGTCCCGGCATCGGGTGCTTCACCGCCCGCTCAGCCAACTAGAGGTAGGGGTCAGACAGCTAGAGGTGGAGTTCATGCCATTAGAGGTGGAGGTCATGCCGCTAGAGGTGGAGGTCATGCCGCTAGAGGTGGAGGCCAGCCAGTTATGGCTCGTCTTATAGATGTAGTTCAGAGATGGAGGTCACGCCGCTAGAGGTGGAGGCCAGCCAACTAAGGCATGAGGCTGAGTCATTTGACGTTGTTATCACAGGTACTGTTTCAGTTTGCAGTAAAGATACTTCAGTTCTATTTGATTCGGGTTCTACTTATTTTGACGTGTCATCCTATTTTGCTTCATATTTGGTTATGCCTCGTGATTATTTGAGTGCTCGTATGTATGTGTCCACACCTGTGGGAGATACTATTATTGTAGATTGTGTTTATTGTTTATGTGTGGTTACCATTGGGTGTGTTGAGACTAGTGTAGATCTTCTATTTCTCGATATGGTAGATTTTGATATCATCTTGGGTATGGATTGGCTGTCACCTTATCATGCTATATTGGATTGTCACGCCAAGACGGTGACCTTAGCCTTGTTAGAGTTACCTCGATTAGAGTGGAGAGGGACCCCTGGACATTCTATCAGTAGGGTTATCTCTTACATGAAGGCTCGACGTATGGTCCAGAAGAGGTGTCTAGCTTATTTGGCTTATGTCCGCGATTCTAGTGCAGAGGTTCCTTCCATGGATTCATTACTAGTTGTTCGTGAGTTTCCAGAGGTGTTTCCTATAGACCTGTCGGGGATGCCACCCGACAGGGATATTGTATTCATTTGGCTTTGGGCACTCAGCTCATTTCTATTCCTCCATACCGTATGGCCCCGCCAGAGTTGAAAGAATTGAAAGAGCAGTTGCAAGATTTGCTTGATAAGGGCTTCATTAGACCTAGTGTCTCGCCTTGAGGTGCACTCGTATTGTTTGTGAAGAAGAAATATAGATCGATGAGGATGTGTATAGATTATCGGTAGTTGAACAAAGTCACCATAAAGAACAAGTATCTGTTGCCAAGGATTGATGACTTATTTGATCAGC